TCAGTAAAGATATTAAAAAGGACTGGGCCCAACACTGATCCCTGGGGGACACCACTAGTGACCGGCCACCAACTGGATGCAGCCCCGTTCACCACCACTCTCTGGGCCCAGCCCCCCAGCCAGTTCCTAACCCAGCACAGAGTGCCCCTGTCCAAGCCGTGGGCTGCCAGCTTTTTCAGGAGAATGCTGTGGGAGATGGTGTCAAAGGCTTTGCTGAAGTTCAGGTAGACACATCCACAGCCTTCCTCTCATCCACCAGGCGGGTCACCTGATCATAAAAGGAGATCAGGTTGGTCAGACAGGACCTGACCTTCCTAAACCTGTGCTGGCTGGGTCTGATCCCTTGTCCATCCTGTAGGTGCTGTGTGATTGCACTGAGGATGATCTGCTCCATAACCTTGCCAGGCACTGAGGTCAGGCTGACGGGCCTGTAGTTTCCCGGGTCCTCCTTCTGGCCCTTTTTGTGGATTGGCATGACATTTGCCAACTTCCAATCATCTGGGTAGATGATGGACAGCGGCTTGGCGAGCTCCTCTGCTAGCTCCCTCATCACCCTAGGGTGGATCCCATCTGGTCCCATAGTCTTGTGGGGATCCAGGTGGCTCAGCAGGTTGCTAACTGTTTCCTCCTGGATTACAGGGGGGCTGTTCAGCTTCTTATCTCTTTCTACAAGCTCCAGAAGCCAGCTGTCCTCAGGACAATCTGTCTTACTGTTGAAAACTGAGGTAAAGAAAGTGTTAAATACCTCAGCCTTTTGGTCATCTTTGATAACTATATTCCCGCCCATGTCCAGTAAAGAATGGAGGTTATCCTTTTGCTTTATCCTGGAGTGATTGTATTTTTACTTTTTTGCAGATAGAGAGAGGAAAACTTCATGGCTGTATTGATGTTGGACTTTCTGTCATGTCTGTAAAGAAATCAACAAAATGTATAGATTTGGATACAGAAGAGCAGATATACCATCTGAAGGTGGGTCTTCAAGATTGTTATAACCTTGTTCCCAAATTAATAACAGTAGCTGTGTATGACGAAGCCCTTTTGTTGCTTTTTTTGATAGCAAGAGGTCTGTTAGTTACACTAATAACTTGGTAGTCTCAGTGGATTACTTTACACTTGTAACTTGAGAGGCATTATCATTCTGTTTCGGAGTCCAGAATCAGTAACACTGTTCTGAACAGAAACCTTGAAGATGCTTCATGTTTAGCAGCACTCTTTTCACCTAGCACTTTTTTCACTTGTTGCACAAGTGCTTTTATTTTCAGTAGTTGTATCTTTGTCTTATCTATAGGAAGTATTTTCCATGGTCAAGTATGGGGATTTATCTATCCTTGTGGAATAAATAGTTTTAAAATACATCACCAAAATCAAGTTTCTGTTTTCTTTGACCTAACTTTAACAATGGCAATTAAAAAATGACAAATTTAATGTGTGGGGTTTTATTTACATTGTAGGGGTTTTTATGTATAAGTTGCTAATTATTGTGTTCTGCATTGGAACTCATAACTACTAACTGTAGTTTCTCTTTTTCCTGACTTTATCCTGTGATTTTCTGTCATTCTTAAGCTCATACAGTATGCATTTTTAATAGGACCGTCCTTAGAAAAACTCTTCTGATAGTTTGCTAATAAAGGCCAACCAGGCTACTTGTCCAAGGAACACAAAATACCTTAGTATCTCTGTAAGTGATTTTTGAATGTGAATGTTATAAAACCTGAAATTTTGTGTAGGTGAAATCTCAGGAGCTGTTTGATGAATGGGTAGCAAAACTTCGTCATCACAGAATGTACCGTCAGAATGAAATCTCCATGTTTCCTCATGACACCAATAATATTTTCTTCCCTGTGTCTACTACTACGGATTCTGTCCCTGGTTTCTGTGATTCTGCTTCAGGTAGAAAGGTAATAGTTATTATTTATAAATAATGAGCTTTCATGGTGAATTAAATTAGTCTGATTTGTGTTTATTAAATAAAGAGCATAATGGAAGTTTGTGGTGGCATTTAAGTTATGTTCTAAAATGTCAAGAGAAAAATTAAATTATTTATTGATTTACTCCTAAGCAGTTTTCTTTATGATGCTGTTAAATTTTATAATAATGTTTCATTGTTTTAATCCAGTAAATTATATTTTTATTTTATATTCTTATATATATTACAGACAAATGTATTTTATATTGACTTTCAAGACTGTATATTGAGTTAGAATCCTCATAATTTTTGAGACATATGTCAGTATTTGTATGATATGTGCTGGTGAATATTAGTCTAGGTCACAGAAGAGCACTCAGCTAGGTATTTTTTTCCCTTTAGCATTTTGCCATATATCCTTTAGCTAATAAACCCTCTGCCCTTTTACATTAATGAAGCTGGCTACTTAGCTGGGAATTATACAAGAATCCATCACCTGGGGCCACTACTTATATTTGAATTTATATTTTATATATTTTATATATTTAAATTTATATTTAAATACCCACCCACCACGCTGTGGGTGGGCATGGGATCTGAATGGGTCCAGCTGACAGTGTACTTGTCTTTTAGTAGAGTCTGTGACTGATAGTTTCACAAATGACTTGACAAATGTTTAGTCCAACACCATAAATGACATTTTTGATGCAGCTTCATGGAAGAGTGTGTGTGTTCTGTGTCTGGACACAGTCTCTGTGCCTTCAGCTGTCTATACATTAACTGGCTGACTTTCACCCAAAGAAGTTCTTCTGCTCCAATGTAGAACCACTGGTGTCTTTTGTGACTCACATCTGTACTGTTTTACTTACTACAACTGAAATGACGCTCTGTTTCTGTCAGCTCCAGAGTGTCTCCTAAGTACCAACCAACTCTTGTTATCCTGCTGTCTAAGGTTTTCTTTTCCCTGGGATAATTGCTGTATGATCTGAATGGGCTTGTTCCTCAGCACCTGTAGTTCATCACTTTATCCTGTAACTGAGTATGAGTTTTAGCAAACACGAACATGTGCCTGAACAGCTTTTTGCTCAGGGTTGAGAGGGAGGGGATCTGTGTGAGCAGGCAGCTGAAAGAACAATAACTCACCCTGCAGTAACAAGGCCGTTCTGCAAAGAATTGTTTGCACGTATTTTGTGGTGCCAGCAGCTCTGTGGCTCTGACAGCCTGCTCTTCTGAGGCTATGTCTGCAGGGAAATGGCAAATCTCCTGTGTCCATTTAGTTGTTTTCTCCCAAAAGACAGCAGGGATAGAAGTGAGGAAGAATATCAAGGGCAGAAGTGGAACATTTGCAAAGTCCATGATATATTTATGCCGGTGTTTTCAAAGAAGAAAAAAAAAAAGAAAAAACCCCAGAATCCATGTGACCAGCATATCTAAAATCTATGCTTACTGCAAGGAAACTAACCATTTCTTCTTTGGCATGAAAGACTTAATTCAGAGTATTAATCCAGATTTTCACTGCAAAGAAGCCCTACTTATTTTCATGTGAAAAATAGAAGGGGATAGTTCTTAAGCTGCAGTTAATCACCTTAGCTCTGCTGAAGCTAAATGGAACTCTGCCAATTTACACCAGCCCTAGCTGGATGTTAATTGATATCAATCCAGCAGTAAGATTATTTTGAGAAAAATATAACGTGTGAACTTCGAGTTGTATTTTATTTGCTTTTAGAAACACCTGATCGGTTTTCACTTTTTTTTTTTATTGTGTGTATCTACATATGTCTATGTGGAATGCTTGTATTCTAAAGCTTAACCATGCTAATCCAAAGCAAAACTATGTGAACTGGAGCTACACAAGCTCTTACCTGTTTGTGTATTGGTGTTTGGCAATGCCTATTTCCTTCTTTCCTCCTGCTCATGTCCCTTATGTTTATGAGTTCTGGAGAAGTTGGTTATGTGAGATAGATTTCTGAAGAGATAAATATGGAATTTGTTCACAAAATGCCAATGCAATTCCTCATCTTTAAATTCAGTTTACTTGTGCTTTTAAAGGTGCTGAGATTATTATTTGGGTGTACATATATATATGACTAAAGCTCATACAGCTTTATGTAGGAATAAAACAGTCAAACTGCATAGATTAATTTTAAAATAAGTGTGCTTATTGGTGCTTACTGCTATTGCATACTGACACAGTACTGAATGATGTCACATGGATAGTGCATTTTATTTTATTCTGCAACTCATGTTGGAGGTTATATTGTAAATTTAAAAAGACCATCTAAGAAGACTGCAACAGACTGAGAGGTAGATGATGTTTCTTAGGAATAGATTTAAAAACTAGTACTACCAGAGCTTTGATATAAGATGAGCAGGACGTAACTAAGTTTGTAAATAGTATGCTTCAGAGAAGAGCCAAACAATTTAGTCAGCTTTTCTTATAACCAGTAAACTGGTTGTGTAATGGCACTTAAGGTGAAACATTTTAAAACTGATTTTAAACAAGATGTTGACAAAGCATGTAATTTGTGCCACTTCCTGATGTAGGTATTATTGAAAATGAAAGGTTTAGTAGGGTGTACAAATAATTTAAGCATTTGAATGGCTATTATTTGTAGTTACATTACAGAAGAAAACAGCATTATAGGCCACGATCAACTGGTAGTAGTACTGGGCAGAAATTTCTTCACATTGGAAACTATTTAATTGTACTGCTCAGTTAGCTCTTACACAGAATTTACAGCATCATCTGTACCACACGTGGTAGTGGACATTGCTGAAATTGAGCTAAGTTTGAAGATGTGTACAGAGATGTTGTAAAAGGGTAGTATTTACCCAGATGAGGTGTGTGATCATACCTGTATGAAGGCCTGTTGAGCCAAATGCGTGCTGAAGTCATACAACTTTGAGTAAAATTTTGAAATAATATCTAGTGCATCTTGCTTTTACCCTGAAAAATAGCTTTAACAAACACGTGCATGGTACATTTAAGTTACTTCTGGGGCTTCTTTGGGGACCATGTAGGAGGAACAGAATGTCCAAATTTGATCCTGCTCAGATATGGTACTTTAATTGTATTAAGTTGACCTAATTTATGCAGAACTTTACCCTTCCTCAAAATTTAGTTTTCAGCAAATTTTGTCATTCCTTTAGTATTTCTACTGCTTGTAGGCAGCAATTATGTTAGATAACCTGCCATTATGCTCAATGACTGTATACCTAGTCTAGATCATACACTTTTTTCCCTTCATGTAATTGATGTCTTTGGCTGTGATCATGAAACTCGACTGTTGATTGTCAAAATTTGTGTATATAACATTAAAATAATGTTTGTTAATAATTCGCTTGGTTTTGGTTTTTTTGAACAGACAGGCAGCTTGACCAAACAAAATTCAATGTCAGCTGGAGGTAACTTGTCATTTTCCTTTTCAAGTAATGAGTCCAGGATTTCCTCTTGGCTACAGTCTTCTGAAGAGATGGAAAAATGCTCAAGAGGTAATGATATTTGAAGGAAAGTGAAAGTAGCCTAATATTTCCCCTAGTTTTTCTTAACAACAAAAGTATTATACCGTAAGTCATCATTACTGTTAAAAGTTTTCTCTCAAACTGGAGGGAGGAAAGAGGTGGTCATTGATTAGTGGCTACTCAGTTGTTTGCAAAAGGACTAGTAATTTTGGATGTGGATGTATCAGTTGTGGACACCTCTTCAAGAAACCTATATATTTCAATACATTTTCTTTTGTACAGGAGAATCACATTCAGTCGTAAGATTTGAACTTCCTTAGGCTGGGTATTCAAAAAAGGGAAGCATCAAAATCTAATAATTTAAAAAGTATTAATTCTTTGTACTTCAGAGTCACCTTCTGCTTTCATTCTTTCCTAAGAGCAAGAAGATCTTTCTCATGCTGTTAGTGTCTGTGTGATATTTATTTGTTATATTTCTGCCTACACTGAACTTCATCTCAAATATAGAAGAGCCTCACCTCTAGCTCTGAATGTACTTGAAGACTGTGTCATTGTTACCCTCACCATTAGGAGCTTTGACAAGTCCCAAATTGCAGTAATTATCACATTATTCTCATTTTTCTGCAACCAACTGGGAAAAAATATCATGATCATTACACATACTATATAGATGCATTTCACTATTTTGAATTTAAACCTGAAGATAGTACCCAATCTTTTTATCCAGCAGTCTAATACTGTGCTTTTACTCAGTGAATAACTTAGGCTAGGTACAATCAAAATAGGACTAACCTACAAAGAAAAAAAATTGTCAGTGTGTCTGTTACTTTAGGGCAACTGAAAATATTCTTTTGTTCTAAACAGACCTCTCCAACTGTCACACATATTTACTGGAAATGAACCAGCTGTTACAGAGCATGGATGTTCTTCACAGGACGTATTCAGCGCCTGCTATAAATGCTATGCAGGTTTGTTGTTTAGAAACAAAAGCAAAAAGCATATTCCCTTACAATTCAAAAAACCAACCCTAATCCTAAAGAATCAAGTTATTTCTTCCTTAGCTCTGTTAGATATATGGCAATCTGTATTGTTTTTTGTCCTGTGTGTTGTTAAAAGGTTGGACCTTTTGAAAGCCCAAAGAAGGAAAAGAGAACACACAGGAGGTGGCGATCCAGAGTTGTTGGGAAAGAAGCTAAAGGAACGTTACAGGTAACTTCAGTCCTTCCAGGGGCTCATCTTCCTCCAAACCTTATTGATCACTTCTTGGCATGACCTGTTTAGGAAATACGAATCCTTTCCAAGTAGTGTCCTGCGCTAGCTCATTTTAAGTGGTAATATACCTGACAAAACACAAATATATTGTCCTTGATATCTGCAATAGGATCTGTCCTGTTACCTTCAGGAGACTGGCCATGTTTTTTTTACCCATGTTTTCAGTCTGTGTCCAATATGGGGGGCTGTGCTGGTGGGTTTTTTTAATCAGTACAGATTTTTAAAATTCTCTAGATAGTTTTGTACACATTTGCATCCAGAGGCCATGTGATTAGATACTTACAGGTGGGGGGAATAATACAGCATATGTTACAACTCTCAGTGGACTTGGTTTTTTGAGTTTTGCCAATTATCCCATTATGGTATATTGGGCAAAGCTGTAGCTCTGGTTTCATTTGCCAGGTGTCATCCATTCCAAGCTTACTGGTAATTGACAGTAATTATTTCATTTTTTTGTCTCCAACATGTAACCCAGGTGGGTACAATAAAACAAAATTTTCTTTACAGTTTATAAAAATATCACAAATTACCATCCTCCTTACAGGTGCCTTCAGTATTTTCTGCCCCTATGAGACTGCATGCTTCCAATCCAAACTTATCTACAATAGATTTTGTAGAGGAGAAAAATTACTCTGATGGCTCTGAAACATCATCAGAATTTACAAAAATGCAAGAGGACTTATTTCAAGTTGCACATAAAGGTAAATGAAATTGTCTTCCGTATATGGTTTTATATCATCACAACTTAAATAACGGTGTGACTTCTGAGAATGCTTCCTGTTTAATGTTTAGAAAATGCAGAAAACACCCTTTAATTTCCTTTAGGAATTGCAAATGTTGAACTTGTGGGTCACTTAAAAAAGGTGGCTTAATCATCATTTTTGATTTTTTTTTTTAATTAATAGAGGACAGCCCTTTGTCTTCTGTGCTAAAAACCTAGCTGTTTGTTCGTGGTTTTTTTTTTTTTTTTTTGGCCAAGAGGTAAAATACCTAAAATCAATTGCTAGAAACACAACAGAGGATTATACTCTTTTTGTGTTAGAAACACAACAGAAGATTATACTCTTTTGTGTTTGCACGCATATGTGTTCATATGAGCACACGTATGTTTCTATATTCGGTGTGCTTCACTGTATTTCAGAGTCAACATTTGTTGATGATGCAAGGGTTGCTATGGTAGTAACCTATTTTTAGTGAATAAGAAGAGTAAAATCATGCAAAGCAGCCAGAAGGGGAGCTTGACTAGAAATATTTCTTCCCTCAAAATCATTTTTCATTAGCAGTGCTTTGCTCCATCACCCTCGCACCAGAAGCATTTTTATTATTTAAGTGATCTTGATGAGGAAGGCACTTAAGCATTTATAGCTGAAAGGCTTTTGGAAGTATTGGCTTTGTCCCCTTTGGCACACTATAATGGTTGATGTTATCAATAAGCACTCTCTGCTTGTTTTCCCCTCTGGTGCTGATATATCTTGATTCTGTTATGTAAGGAATGTATCTAAGTAGTAAACTTGATAAAGTCCATTATTGTCAAAACTGATGTATGTTTTCCAAAAAAAGAAAAGAAATGGGGGTGGGGTGCAGTTGGAGAAGTTGCTGTTAAGCAGAGCAAAGAAATCACCTATTCAAGATCATCTTACCAGAAATGTCCATGTTGGAAATTTTGGTTATATTGATCCACGCATTAGAAGGGACAATTAACTTGGTACTATTTACTGCAGTATCAATTTACTAAGAGGACAAAGAATTTTTTTCCAAAGTTACTTTATAGCACACCCATTCCAAAAATAATAGCGAAGAAACCATTTGCTTCAGCTTTTTGATACACATTAAATAAAATGTAACATTGTTTAGTATGTAATGATACTTGAAGATTGAAGTTAGTATACAACGTATTAAATGTATTTAAGGTCACTGAAGATTCTGGTCATGTTATCTATGTATGAAAGCCTAACAGAATAGATCATAGTGGATATATCTCCCTCCCCACCGCCTGTGATACTGCTAAAGATTTCTTTGGATAGTATGAGAATTAGCTTTGGTAATGGTTTGCAGTGTTGGAATATACTTTAATTTTTTAGAAGACTAAATTGGGTTACATAACTTATTAACGAAGTAGTGATGATTCAGGTTAACTCAGAGTGGATGATTAGAAGAGAGGAGTATCAGGGATTTCTTGATCATTGCTCTTTTCACACATCCATGCCCAGATTTTTTACCCTAATTTCCCTGTAAATGGGCTAATTTTTGCATGGGCAGTTTTCATGATAGTATTACAGGGCTTGATTAGACCCTCAGAAATCCTCTGATACTCCAGCTAATTGAATGTTGAAAACCTACATAAATAACTATTGCTCAAATAATGTTTTTATTTCTTGTGGTTAAAGAGAAGATTAAATGTCTTAAGGGTAAAAAAAAAACTTTAAAAAGTGTATTTTCCCTCTAAAAATCCAATGATTTTAAAATTGCATGATCTGTTGTCTGATTTAAACATATCAGGCTGGTGGTAGTGCCTCAGGAAGGAGTAGAAGTAGCAGCATAACATGCATATCATTCAGGCTCTGACCTTTTGAGTCACTAAATCATCTAACAAGCTGAAATTTCTTTGTTACAGAAAGAGATAACAAAACTCAACACCACAGTTGACTTGCAGGGAAACTACTAACCCTATAGCTGCAGCACAATATGTGTTACAGCTGCTTTTTTTGATTACTTTTTTTCCTACTTAATTTTTTTTCTTTCGTCTCTTCTTCTCCCCCACTGGAATTTATAAAGGAATGTGGAATAGAATCATGACCATCTGAAGATTCAAGCTAATTGGGGAACAAAAGCAAGTGAAGAGCAGATGTGGTTAGTTAGCTTTGTTGCCATCTGTCACAAATAATCAGAGTAATTTTGACTGTGGCTAATATAGTCAACACAGTAGCATTCACCATAAACATTTCTCCTACTAAAAATCTACCCTATAACCTTGATTAATATTACTTGTTTTTAGTAACCCACCCTGGATCTCTCAACCTAAATTCTTGTTTCTGTCACCATAAACAATGTTTTATTTAAGTTTTACGTAATTAGTACGCATACAATTGGTAGCAGCTGTTTTTAACTGTCACTTTTTACAAAATGGTTCTAGTTTACTTCACCTTGAGGTCAGCTTTCAGCACCATATCTACTGAGAGAGAAAAGCTGAAGCAGATGCTGGAGCACGATGCATCTTCATCTCCATCTGCACAAATAGTGGGCTTGAAGAATGCCTTATCATCTGTAAGTGACATGCTGAAATTCACTGAGCTTCATTGTCATCAGATACTACTTTTAAATTTTATAGTAGATAATTTCTGATTCTTTGGTGTCTATTCTGTGCTAGAATGTGCAGAATTTAATCACAGCAAGTTCTACATGTGGTGTTTTTCAAAGACTCTTTCCTGAATGTTAAAGGTATTGTCAAACCATTGAAGTTTGAGAGATGGATTGATATAGGTATATAGTATAATCTGTATCATTTGGTGTTAAGAATCGGAGGGTTGCTGTGTGACTATGAGTCTACTTTCTTTCTAAACATTCACTGTTTAATCACCCACCTCTTGGAAAAGGTTTCCTTTTCCTTTTCTTTACCTAAACAGCACTTGAGTGTTCACTGTATGACCTGGCATAAAGTAAAGGTGAGAGTGGCTGAAAGCACTCCGCTGTCCCTTCTAATGCACGAGAGCTTCACCGTGCTGCACCAAGACACTGCAAAGCAAATTCTAGTAAAACTTGTTTACATTGACTTCCAACCTTAATTGTCTCTTAGTCCTCTAATAGCAGCGATGGAGTTGGTAGAGCAGAGTTCTAAATGACAAAAGATTGTGCTCTTTAAAAAAAGGGAGAGGGGGAGTGTTTGGTTGGTGTGCTTTATGTAATTGTTTGAGACCAGAACTTTCAGATTGGTCATGTTTCAGTGTGTCTACTGAACAGTGATCTGATTTCAGAGCAATGAAGGCCATCATTACTATGGCCTTAAAATTTCAGTGTTTATTGCAAATACCGCATCAGAGGCAGGGGAGACTCTCTGACACTGATCAGTATGATGTAGATCATCTTAGAGTTATTTCAGTATGAAAACTTCCCTTTGCTTTACAAAAGCTACATGTGGTTATGGTTTTTTAACATATCTCTTTGCCTAGACCTTTAAAGGCCATGATGTCTTCATAGCATTTAGAGAAAGCTGAAGCCTGGTGCATAATAACTATACTCGCTCACTTGCACTTCTTTGGTTTTGGCTTTCAGATGTTCCTCTTTTGATATTTGAATAGGTGACTTTTATTTTCCAGGGCTATTTGCCTACCATTTTATATCAAAAAATCAGTTTTAAGATTGCTGAACTCAGTGAACACTCAGTTTAGCATGAATTATTTTGGTTTTTTAGGCAGTGAAATTCTGTTGTCCATCTTCATCTTGTACATGTCTTTTAAAAGTAATTCTTTTAGGTCTTATCTGATACTTAATAAGCCTTTTGTAGCCAATCCAGAAGTCATCTGTGAACCTTGGCAGTTTCAGCAGAGGTTAACGCCTCTGAGGGCCTGCAGATCTGCAAAGCCATGATGCCAAATTTTCTCACCCTGTACAGCAGAGATCCTATAGGAGAAAGGAATAAGCTTTATTTGGAAACATAGGAAAGATGGATATGATAAACTTGACATATTTTGAAGACTTCCTTGCGAGAGAGTCCTGTGTTGATGACTTTGACTTCATGTTTGTTGTTGTTCATTTTATTTGTTTTCTGTACAGGAGAAACAAAAAATCAGACTCACAGGTTTAAAGCTATCAAACATAGCTCTGTTTTGCTCTTATCAACCTGACAGGGGAAGAAAAGTGAACAGATTTAAAGTGGATAAAACACCACAAAATTAGCATCTCTGGCTGTGCTTCTCCCTAATTAAGATAGTATCCTTGACCTACACACAGTCTGAGAAAAGCAAATACAGAATGAGAATAAATACAGTATTTTTGGTTTTGGGAGAGGAAGAAGAGAGCAGAAGGAAGAAAACATTCTGTAGCAAACAATGAAAATGGGAAGATGCTATTATGGGGCAGCTGTGTAAATTCTGTTTTGCACTTACCTGATGCTGTGGGTATAACACAGTGCTGAACACTTGATGCAGAAGTGCTAAACACCTGTATGGCAAATTCAGCCCACATATAGTTAAAGCCAGAAATTATTTTCTCCCCTCCATCATCACTTTGAGCTTACTTGTCTTTCCTTCTCCCAAGGTGATTTTCAACAAAAAGCACTTCCAAAATCAGAAGCATTTGTGGGATAACACGGATGTGTAAACAGCAGGGTTCTCCATGTCCTGGTATTGATTCAGATCACTGAGTCTTCAGTGTTGTTCCAAAATTAGTAACCTAGTCTTTTATTTCAGAGATATTTTCATTGCAGGCAGGGTTGCACTCTCTTCCTACAAGTCTACTTTAGTTGACATTTGTCCATCAGATGCACCCAGCATGAATAAATAACATGTAACAAGCATGAGTTTGCAGTAGAGGCTTTTTATTCTGATCATTGTTATTATAATCTGATAGGACTTGAATTGTACCTGTACCTGTGAGAATTTAAGTCTTATTTCTCTGTCAGTGGAAGGCAAAGGGAACTGTCAGTATGGAAAAATCAAATGGTTTTGGATGTGGCAAAAACTAATGTTGAGAGAGGCTCAGCTGGAAATGGAGGTGAAGGAAGGGAGCTTGAAAAGAAAAAAGATGCACAAAATTAATTTATAACTTATGAAATCAGCTTGCAAACCTTGAAATATCCCTACCATCTCTGACTTTTTTTTTTCCACTTATGTGTCTTTTCCCTCACACTGAACAAAAATAGTTTTGAGAGATAACAAGTAAGGTTTGAAGAATTTAAGGTAAATGATTTGCTGAATTGGTAAAAAATGATGTGGTGGTGTTTTATACTGCACTTTAAATACTCTTTACCCCTGTTTACACAATAAACCCACATTTGAGTTAGTTGAGAGAACTTTATATCCCCAATATTTTTGTTAAATATTCCAGGCAATAGCACAAAATACAGATCTTAAAGACCGGTTACGCAGAATACATGCCGAATCTATGATCCTTGATTCAGCATCTAATGCAAAATCAAGTCCAGATTTAGTGAAGGTGGGTATGGATTTCCTCTTTCAGTGATGTCTGTTCCTCAAGCCCCTACATCTAGACAGTGCTACATAGCTGCATCTTGTCCTTTCTTGATGTCTCCCCTGTGGTGTATCGTGTTAGCAAATCGAGTCTGCTTTTGTGGTTGTGAGTCACGTCTGATGATGCATTGTGTGATATTTGATTTCAAGGACTTTCCTTGTGAGCAGGTTTCCCGAGCACACCTTCCGTTGCCTTTTGCTACTGGCTCCTGGTGTTCTCCCTCACCTCCTGCCTGCTTCTCATTCAGCATGAACAGAGCTGCCACTTTGTTACCGTCGTGCTGCTGTTTCTATCGCCCTTAGTCCCTTGTTAACTTTCAAGTTCTGTAGACCTTTTGTTGACTGTTGAAGTATTGTTAACCCAGAATGTTGGCTACTGGTGTGGATCGTGTAAGGTTTAGAACATCTTTTAGACATTTCCATGAAAGGATCAAAGTTAATTGGACATACAAGAGCTCTTTCCACCATTTAGTTTTCTTTTTGTGAAGGCAGGAAGTCTTCTATATATCCAGTTAGCCACTTTGAGATGCACTGATGTTCAGACAGTCTTCTGGCTCACTGCAGAATGCATGTGAATATGGTGTAATTAAAAGTCATAAGATCTAAGTGTTAATGGTGTTAGTGAGGGAAGCCAGAACAGTGTTATTTCTGATGGATTTTCCTATATGTTAACTCATACAGAAACCTCTGCTGCGCTTGTAGTATAAATCTTCCATTAGAACTTGAGTGGATGTAATGCTGGGGGTTTTATATAACTAATTATTTCCTTTGCTTTTTAAAGACAGTTTAGTCATTCCATCTGTTCACTTCTGGCTTAGTTCTGTTTCAGTGGAGCTGTGTGTTGGTCATATTTAGCTGTTCAGTTTTTGGGGTTTTCTTCCTTAAGGTAGTTGATCATTCTAATGCCTTTTGCTTTTAATCCCATAAGAATTTGAACAACACTTAAACTGCTATCCAGAAAAGCATTAATGCACTGTTATTTAATTTCAGGAGTTCTTTATTTTTTTATTTAGTGGACGTCCTTGCAGTGACAGTGGATTATTTCTGAAACTTGTTCTGTGCACTATACGCACATAGAGAAATACATGACAGAAACAGATTTCAGAAAGTCCTTAGAGGTTTCATTCACAAATTCCCTCTGGTAAGGTTTGGGATGGAACTTAAAGATAAAATCATTTATACTGGAGAAGTTTAATTTTAAAATTGTTTGAGGATTGTGATACAGTAGTGCTGCTCTGAGGAAGACAGGGTCACTGCACAAAACTTGTTACTAAATAATACATCAGGTGCTATGATTGACCTGTGAAAATTGAAGCAGTGTAAGATAGTATCTCAAGCCTTTGCATAAAGGAAAAGTTTAGTTCGTCTGTTGGGTAGTTAAATTGTAATTCATCATGCCAGAGTGGGAACATGGAAGAAGACAACCTGAAACTTATGTGTTAGATATAAAAACCTACTGTTCTTTTATGAGTCTTTCCTGCTCACTTTCCTTCTCAGATTCAAAATAGTATTGGAAACAATCCCAGTAACAATGCTTATGTGTGTAAGATTTTTTTTTTATTTTTTTTTTTACTGGTAGGCTAGTGTAACTACCTTCCCACAGAAGAGACAATATTGAGGTTTCCTCTTTTTTCCCTGCTGTATCAGAAGGGGGTTTTTTTAAGTCTTTTGTATAGCAGTTTGGTTTTTTTCCATGTCACCATTATCAGCGTGTGCTGAATAACGTTCCATACAATAGTAAAACCTACCAACAGAAAAGCTTTGAAAGAAGATTTGTCAGTTTGATTATAGATTTCTCAGACTGTTCATTATGTTTTTCTGAAAATAAAATACTACAATTCCTGCAAAATTATGATAGAACAGTCATGGTAACACATTAGTAAAGCACCTCATGCCGAAAAGCAGCTAATACAGTCCTTTGGGCCAGCTTTCTCTGTATTGGTGGAGTTATCAGGAAAAACAATAGTGCTCAGTGTTCTCCAACTTTTTTACTGTATCCACAGAATGAGCCAAGTCTCACTGGTCACCTCACCTTTGCTAGGCCACATTTTGGAACTTTGCTTACACCAATCTGTAGAGCTTCTATGGGAGGAGTTATCAAGATCTCTGTGGCAGAGATTGTGCCTCCAACAGCAAAAGCAATTCCGCTGATATGGTTTTGATAGTGTGTTGGTTTTGGATAACATGGGAGATATCTCCGGCGTGGATATAAAGGAAAGCTTTCCGAAGAACATCATAGAAAATTAGTGAAGAAAAAGAGCTAGGAAAACACTCTATTATAAAGAAAGTAACTTTACCCCTCTGAATTTTGTACACCGCGGTACTGCAGGCTTTGCAATAAAGCAAGGGTTAGGGAGGAAAAGACTGATTCATTTGCCAAGATCAGAAAGGAGCGTGAATCTAGGATGTAATATAAAGATGTGGGAGTTTTGTCCTTTTGTGGGCTTTTTGATGATACACTTTTATATATCTGGCTAAATCATTAAAATAGCAAAACATTTTGACATGCAGCACATAACTGATTTACTGAATAGGCATTGCTTTTTTTGCCTTCTTTTTTCCTTCTTCTCTTTGATTTGTTTTACTTTGGTCTTAAATCCCTCTTTGAAACACATGTTACCTTTCACTTAAATTGGAGAGGAGCACGTGCAATCTTCTCCCAGTGTTTTACAGCCCTTCAAGTTATGTGATTGTGGAATTGCATGCATAAATGTTGTTTGTGGTACTTCCCCTCTCAAAATTTTTTCTTTCTTTTAAACAGGAAAATTCAAGAGAAGAAGGCAGAGGTCTTGTTCACCAGGTCTCCAATGAAAGCAGACTGTCTATAGCTGACTCTCTCACAGAATTTTTTGATGCACAGGAAGTCCTACTGTCTGCTAGTTCTTCAGAAAATGAGGTCTGAGCAATAAGATTGATATCATTCTGAAGTAGTTTCTTATCTGCTAATTGACATGTAGTCTTTCTGAGTGCCAACTGTACATTAGAATTCCAGAAAATTTGAATTTTCAAAATATTTGGAAAGTAATATGCCACTTGTGTTTATTTTCTGTCATTGTCTCTTCACAGTAAGGTGTAGCAATTATTCTGGAGAACTCTTATATACACATCGAGGCAGATGGCAATTAGGTAGCTACTATGCAGATACTGCGTATATTCTATTGTCTGCCTTCAGTCATTATACAGGTGCTTAGGGAGTCACATCACAGAAATAGTTATTCATAGCTGTCCTTGTGGTATCTGTAGGTATCTCGTGGCTGATGTCGTGCACTTTGAAATTTATTAGCTCATTTTGTCACCTCTTTTGAGTTCCGTAACAACCTTGGTCTTTGATATGAGGAAAGCTTGGTCTTCTTAGCTATGAGGCCAAGAAGACCAAGTGTGTCTCCACTAAAAGAGTAGTTGAATTTTCAGTGATGATGATATCTCCTAAACTCAGTGGTGTCTTCTTAGGGGTTTGTAGCATTTTTCTGTAGTACTGAAAATGGTTCAAATATATTAAAACGATAATTGCAGTGGACAGTAACAATTTTCTCATGCATATGGGGTTATTTTAATGAATGAGTATAATCTTGCTTTTTTCCCCCACACTCAGGTATCGGATGATGACTCGTATGTAAGTGATATCAGTGATAATGTCTCAGAAGATAACCTAAGCAATGACATGGAGAATGAAAGACAAACTTTAGGTAAGTTCATTTTTTTCTTACACCATGTTTTGAGAATTTTCTTTGTTTCTGTTTGGTTGGGATACTTTTTTTTCTTCTCTTACTAGATAATTAGGTATTATAGGTTTTGAGATGTAAACAGCCTGTGTTTTTTCTCTTTAACCTCAGATTTTTTTTGAACAACAGATTCTGGCTAAACTGTTTAACAGGGCCTCGTTATCGTTGATTAAGCAGGATAGTGGTTCTGTATCAGCAGGAAAACACTTATTTTCTTGACTTCTTTGGTGCAGCTCCCACTCCCTCTCAGTTTCACATGGCCACAGGATTTTTCAAAGTAGCAAGGCCTAACTGATTTTTTTTTCAAAAAGTAATTTTCTTCTTGTCACTGTTTTTTCAGTCTGCAATTTAACCACCCCATTCAGAATTGTGTTGTTTTAGCAGAACTCATGTTTAAAGGAATGTGAGAATAATTGCACACTGGCAGGCCTGGTGCGTGTTTTAATCATGATAGTCTTGTTAGTACATATGCTAATTTAATTGTCTTTCAAATTAGAAAAAGATTCAAAAAAAGAGGGAGAAGAATTGATCATAACAAACTGATCAGCTTTGTGCCTTGAACTCCTTTCAGCTAACCACAATGTTCTTCCCACTCTAACAATGTATTTTTATCTTCAAAACTGCTGAACACTGATTTCTCACTAGCAACTGTTTCCTGATCATCTCCAAGGACCCGCAGATCCCTGTGAACCTGGGTAGTTCGATATGCCTGGAGAATTGTTGTATTTTGTAACTGTTCAAAAATGAAGAGTTTGTTGTTTTGTTTTTTTTTTTTTTTGTAAGATAGGAAAGAATACAGATTTATTTCATATCATGATGAGGACCTTAGAAAACTGTACTGGTGTGACTGTTCATCTTCTTGTAACAAAGGCTGTCACTGAAGCTCTTCTGTATCAGCAGTACCTCCGCGTGCTTCTGGTACCTGCTATTTCTGTGCTTTGGGCAGCCTGCCACTGCCATTAATAGAAAGCTGAGTGTCTTTTTTCTACAGGGCTTTAGCTGCACCATAAATTGTGTGATTATGATAAAATCCTCTGGCCACTGTAAGGTAGAAGGTCAGACCAGATGTTGATAATGGTCCAGTTTGGCCTTAAAGGTCACTGTGTCTAGCTGGAAGTCAGATGTACGAATCTCCTTAAGTATTGATGCTGTCTATTTGTCACAGCTCTTGCAAACCAGAACTGCAGAGGCTTTTCTGTAATGGGGGGTGGGCAAATTTCAGTGTATAGAAAATTTGGTATCTGAATATCTTAGTTCTTACTCTACTCTGTTTTTTCACCATTTTACCCCACTTAACGGGCTACTGCAGAATATGTAAATAAGTCAGTTAGTAGCCGGAATCCCATTTCTGGGATCCCTTGTAATCAAGCATTTACCTCCTTCTCCAGGTATCTCTTCATTCCTGAGGTATCTAAGGGAACATCCTTGGTTTTGGCCTCTTCTGATATTAAATAAATTCTTCCAATAGGGAAGTATAGGAGCCAATCTTTTACTTCTCAACAGTATAATTGTTTCAGATAGATTTTTTGATTCATAGTGCCCATGCCATTTTTATGCAAAAAGAAAGATACAGGCAAGGGACTGCAAATAGTTCACCTGTCCTTTTTACAGTAACTCAGCCACATAAGCTATTAGGACTGCTAGTTTGCAAGTGGCAGGAAAGATGGAAACTTCTTTCTCAAAATTTTGAGGCTGCTGATTACACTTTAAAATCTCCATGTGAGGTGTGGGCTAGCAGGCACGGAGAAGCTTGTCCTTGGGGTTGTCTGTCACTGCTGGAAGCACTGCTGACACCATGCTTATGTCAGTGGAACAGCAGAAGAAATGCTTTTTGAAATTGTGCTTTTTAAGGGCAGGGATGCTTTGGGCATGTGCAGCACAGAAGAGACGTGCTGCCCAGTGTGGTTTTAATTCCTCTGAGACAAAGCTGTGTGAGGAAAGCCAGGAAAGGATGGGGTTGACAGACGGAGGCTATGCCCGAGGGTCTCCAAACAGTAAGTGATTCTAAGGCAGCAGCTTACTAGGTGCTCCTAAGGATGTGTAAAGATAAAATATGTTCCTGTAGTGGCAAACACATTCCTCTCTGAAACGAAAGTGATGTACAGCTAAGCAATGTAATCACTTCAGACTAGTGCCTGTTGCAGAAGCTTGTAGCTCTATTTGGATCCTGCTACAAATCATTTCATGGCACACTTAGAACTATTTATCGTGTTCCAATGGCCTTGATGTAGCAACACAGATTTCAGATTTTCATTTCAAGGACTCTTGACTCGAGTATTTTTATTTTTTTTTATCTTTAGCAAACCCATAGCTCCACAGTTTCCTCAGCTTTTCCACCTTTAAAACACATCATTTCTCCATCACTGTATGGGCGTATCTCAAACCTAACGTCACTAAAAAAGTTTAAATGCTATAGGAACACTGTGGAAAAGTCTGCATGTAAATTTGTGTGCAGTAAATTTCCCTGGTAGGAGTATTCAAAAAAGTAGGAAAAGATCAGTAGGAGTTGTTATTATCCCTAAATCTGTAAGTTACATCTCGCCTTCTGAGAAGTGTCAATTTAATTGAAGCTCTGTCAAGGAAGGAGGTTTTATGTCCCTCAAACAGATAGGAATCCATCTCTGTTACAAATAAAATGGTTACAATATTTACTCTTTCAAATTCAATGGAAAGTCTGAGTCTTTTCTTACATCCTTTAAGGGGAAGGAAGGTAATTTTTTTTACTCATCTTTTGTACCTGGCATTTACCTCAGTTAAAATACATAAAATCCTGTTCTTAATTTTGTCATTTTTAAAACAGGCTATCTTCAAACCACAAGTGAAATACTTGAATGAATTGTGGGTGGAAGGAAGTTTTGACAGAAGAAAAGATGGTTACATTTTAATGTATGTGTGCAAGGGGGATGAAACTAAGTAAGTGTGAATTGACTTGTTCTGCCACTTCCTTTTCAGACTGTATTTCTGAAAGAGGAATTGGATGCAATTCTAAACGGAGAACGTGTTTACCAGCTCCATGTCCTAATACGAGTAACATCAGCCTATGGAATATCCTGAGAAACAACATCGGAAAGGATCTCTCCAAAGTGGCCATGCCCGTTGAATTAAATGAGCCGCTTAACACCCTTCAGCGTCTCTGCGAGGAGCTGGAGTACAGTGAACTACTGGATAAAGCAGCACACACACCAAACCCATTTGAACGGATGGTAAAAACGTTATTCCAAATACTGGGTAACATTCAGTATAATTGCAATAGAGTAAATATAAAAACAGTGCTAAAGAAATGAAGATGTTCGGTTGCATTTTTCTGTTTCTCTCAGCTGAGAGAGGCAAACTCTCCAAATGTGTGCCTGTACATATTTACATAGCCACTGCTTTTGACTCCTCTACATCATTTCTGTTGCCTTTTCAGGAAGCCTCTCTTTTCTCAAGTACCTTGCTGTTCTGCAAGTTTAAACAGAAAAGGAGCTTACTTCTGTTTTGCAGCTCTCGCTCTGTAAGATTAAAAATTTACAGCAAAAAGGGAGGAGAGGATTGAGTATAAAAACTACAATTTCTCTTTTTTTAAGGGTGTCTGATCTGGTAACATTTGTACACAGAGGATGCTGGATCTTCCAGCCCTACAAAACTGTGATATCTCTGTATTAACTAAATGAGCTCAATACTTTTTATGAACTGGTTTTCTGAAGTTTTGGGGTTGATCCAAAATGTTCAGGATCTCAAAACCAGGCAATACAATTGTATGTTGGGTACAATAATGGTGTCATCTTCTGCCAGTGCAGAACTCTGAATTCTGCACTTGAAAAAAACAAGAGAAAAATGCATTTCAATTGTTCTGCTTCCAGGTGTACAAGAGCTACTTAATATGTAAGCCCATAAATAAAGGATTAGAAACTCCCTAAATTCTCTTAAAAGGAAGATAAAGATTTTCCCATAAACTGAATTAAGCTTTTTCAACTCAATATATCTTATCTTAAAATAAGGTTATAAATGAATGTAAATAGTCATGTTACAAGTACTTTCTGAAAAGCCTCTGCCTCATTCTGGCAGTCTCAAGGGTTACAATATAGGGTCTGTTCCCAGGGTGTGGCTGTTCACTGGGGTTTTCCAGTCCATAGTTTCTTTTGTTCTCTTGAGAACATATGCTAACAGGAAAAGGAAATGAGCAGTAGTTTTTCATAGGGGAGTGAAAAGAAGCTTTTTCCCAAGCTTCTGGAAATTACATCAGAAAGGAGTAATTTTTGCCTTTGAGAAATTCCTGAGGCGAAATTATTTCTGGATGTTACATAGTAATTGCAATAGTTCATAAAAGAGACTTTCTTAAGTGGATTTGGCTTCTGAAACTGTGAAAGGAGAACATCTACACCTTCATAAGATGAGGAAAAGGAAATGAAAGCAGAAAAATAGTACAAAAAAGACTTGAATGAAACAACCCCAAATTCTAAATCCTCGTGTTTAGAAGGAATTGTGCTTGAGCTGACTTGGGTTACCTGTGTCTCAGTCCTAATCAAGAACAGTTTCATGATTAAGTCATAGCACACAGTAGATAAAAGATAATCTAATTCAAACTGCCTTAGAAATAGCAAGCTTGGTGAAAATTCATCCAATGCTTCCTGTGCCATGTTTAGATAAAGGATAGTTGGTAGATCTATGGAATCACAGACTATAACTATAAAAGTCAGTTATTATACAAAATCTAACACTGATTTTTAAGGTTACTGCTTTGAGCTCTGTTGCAGAATGCTAAGCTGTTTCAAACACTTTTCAGAAATGCTTTTTTTGATTGATGAGATTTGCAGTGTTTGACACTAATAATTCCATTCCTGGACTATTGACTGACTCTCTGAAAACTGAATAATTCTCTGATGTGTGAACTAGGGCTTAACTTGCAGGAGACATGCACGTGTATAGTTTTGCAAATGATGGGAAAAATACAGAATCTGATGTTAGGATAACTTTTTTTTTCATTTCTGTCATAAATTAGTTAATCAAAATGCAAAACATGTTCTTCCCAGGTGTACATAGCTGCATTTGCAGTCTCTGCGTATGCATCCAGTTACTACCGAGCTGGAAGTAAGCCATTTAATCCTGTACTTGGAGAAACCTATGAATGTATTCGTGAAGATAAGGGTTTCCAGTTCTTTGCAGAACAGGTATTGTATGCTGCAACCCCTAGAATTGCTACTTGATACGTTGCATCATTCTAAATGTGTTTCTGGAATCCCCTGGAATTCATGGCAAAATACAAAATTACTTTACATAACCTGAGCCCAGCAAAAATCAAGGGATGTTGCTGAATTATAAATGAAGGAAATTGTTTTTTTTTGAGGAAAGTCTGCTAAGTCTGGCATGGAACGTGACAACCAACAGCTGACACTCAAGAAGCAAAGGCTGGCAGGCTGCCTGCTCCAGTAACTAGATAACTTGGTTAAATAGAGTGCAATTCCTCATGCTGAAATCTGATCAGGACTGCAACAAGCATTTACATTCTTGCCATTTTCTTTTGTGTGTGATCATTACAAGTACTGTATCTTCAGCTATTTAATATCGTCTTTTATAACAAATATATCCCTTGTGTGAGTCAATCAACCACAAGTATTTTCTATGGCACCATAAATATTTCTGCTTCCTCTACAAATACTTTTGTAGGCTAAGCCTTTCATATCTGGTACCACAGCTGAGTAGGTGAAAGATGTATACAGCCCATCATGGTCTGAGTGTTTATGAAGTGTTTTCTCAGTAGGAGAAAAATTGTTAAGTATGGATGAAAAATATTAAATTTAAACAAGCCAAGTTACCAAAATTGCTAAGCTTGAAACATATGTTAAAGAGGTATAAAACTTAAATATCTGATGCCTAGGAAAGTAAGAATGATTGAAAGGTGTCTAATTCTGTCTAGACATAACAAAAAAAAGTACATTGTGCAGAGGTGTACAACCCAGAAATTTGATCAGAGAAAGACTTCTAAGAGCCTTTATGAAATGGAAAGTATTTTTGACCAGCTCTGAAGGTACAGCATTTTGCACAATATGTTGTAGAGCTGACAAAAAGGAGTGCTCTGTGATGTTTCCTTGGTCTCAGGAAATGCCACAAGCAAGAGCAAAAATAAGGAGAGGGGAAAAAAACCCAACAGAAAGAAAAACATTCAAAGCACGAATCAAATTTAAAGTTCAAGCAGAGTATCTGGTTCTTCACTGTGCTACTTCAGTAGTAAGATTACATGTACAGAGCACTGCAGTTACCAGTGTAACATCAAATTGGAGTAACAAAGGTGAAAATGGTTGATACTGCACTTAACGTTACACTGAATTAAAAGGAGAAATTTTCACCTGAATTTTGGATAAATCAGTACGAAGGCTACTTTTTATAAGCAGGATTTTTAATACATGAGGAGGCTTGGGCTGTATTGTTCTAATACATGAAAAAAGTGACGTGAGTTTATAGAGTGGTAAAGTTACTGTAAGAGTATGCAGTAGATAAATATTAGGAAGGGAGGAAATAAATTTCATGCAGCCTGCAAGTATTAAATATTTCTCTTTGCATCAGGAGCAGTTGCTTATTGCTTATGCAATACATAATTTTTTAGTGTGGATAATATGTAATCCGTAGAATAGACAAAATGTATAAAATAACAAAGATTCTGATCTATTACTAGAGTGAGTTTAGAATAACTCCTCTTAGCACCATGACCTTACTCTGGAATTATAACAGTTTAAGTGAGAGCCAAGTTTAACCCATGTATTATAGTGACATCTGGGGTTAATCTAGGTACAGTATGTAAGAGTGAGTGATGCTCTTGGTGGATTAGGCCATAGCTGAGAGTAATTAGTACTTTTATCTTTCTTTTTAAACCAAGTAGAGGATTTCAATAAATAACTGGAAGCCTGTGGAAAAAATGCTCAATAACGGATTTGCAAAGTGAGTAACAAAGAAGAAAGTAAAACTGCATTTGAGCCATGTAGGTGGTTAAGAAATTAAATTCATAGTGGGAAATAGCAATTTGACTTGAAAATAGAGTTGCCCAAAGGACTGTAGGCATCAAAGCGCTGGTCCTGATCTGTTGTTAGTGTTCAGCCAGAGGGGAGAATTCTAAGGCAAGGAGTAGTGGCTGCTTTCACTTTGTGCAGTTTTTTTATTTACTATTGCATTTGAATAGTCTGCATTGTGTATTTGTTTATTTACTCTCAGTCCTTGCTTTGCTCTTTTGGTGGTTGCCCTAATTCATGTACAGCCATCACCCAAAGCTGATGAAATGCAGTGTACGTGGTTAGAGTTTAGAAACACCTGGGGTGTCACTACTGCAGTGGAAGGGGTTGCTGGATGGAATTTTGTGGCTTGATTTCTCCACCTGTGGCCCCCTCAGAGATGCTGATTGCTGTCTCCTCCCTCATAGTCAGGGATTTGTGGTTATTTACTGTACAGAAGCTTTAGGCCCTTTGTTGTGTGGGGGTTTTTTGTTTGTTTGTTTTAATTTGTCTGTGTGCTCAAAGTGTGGCTTAATCTATTAAGAAGTCCTAAGGGTAAATTTAATTATCACCTTACAAACAATGTATAAAATATATAGCTAGATTTTCATTCAAACAAAATTCACAGGCCTTTTAAAATAAGTGTTTCCCATTTCTTTCAAGGCTTCTTAAGCCTCAGTACCTTATTAATCTCACTGCCTCCCCCTTCAGGGCACAACTGCAAAGGGAAAGTAAATGTTCAAATTGTAAACACCGTATGGGAGTGAAAGGGGAAAAAAACCAAAAAACACAAACCAAAATGACAGTTCAAGGGTTAATATGTTCATCTTTCCCCCCCCCCCTTTTATGTCTTGTTAGGTCAGTCACCATCCACCTATTTCTGCATGCCATGCTGAATCTGTGAATTTTGCTTTTTGGCAAGGTAACTCTTCAGTCTCTCATTTACTTTTATAGTGTTCATAATATTTTCATTGTATGTCTAACACAAAATATGCAGAAATTAGGAAAAGTTGAAATTCCTTCTTTAAGTGTATTAGCATGCCTTTAAGAAATGCTAACCTATACTTACTTGCATGCTTCTTACTTGGATTTTCTGCTATTATAAAAAAGTTCAAAGTGTTTTGGTTTGGTTTGGCTTTTTATATATAACATTGATTATTCTTTTAATGTAAAAATGTCTGCAGTTCTTAAAAATCAGGGGGTTTTGGATGTGTGTGTGGTTTTTTTAGTAAAGAAGAATTGTACCTCAAGCTATTTATAAAACAAACAATCTAGAAGACAGCATGAAAAAACCTACAAGTTAAATCGTGAACCTTGGCAAATCTTGTAAACCTGTTCTGAAAGTAATTCTCAAAAATGGGTTTAACAGCAAGGGAAAATACATTTACATGCTGGCATTATTACAGTATGTAAGATTTTGTGCTGTGTAACTCCTAACATTGTTTCAAAAGACATGTGTTGAAGCTTTGTTTGCTGTGTAATGCTGGTGAAGATGTCAGCCAGTAATAGTACCTTGTGTGGTTAGATAATTTTGGAGTGTACACAAAACATAACTATGCCTTTTAACTCAGTTAAAATCCTTCACCTAGAGGTTTGTCAATTCACAATGTAGCCATATTATAATCTTTTTTTTATGATTGACTCTGCTGACTTGATTATAGTTATTACAGATGTAGCCATAAAGAACAGAAATTGGAACCCATTAGTCTGAGTTTTATTATTCCATGTAATTCTTTGCTTTGTAAGCAAATATAGAGACACAAGAATCCTTTTGTTGTTAGCCAAAAAGCTAAGATGACCAAAAATATATTCAGTAACTGAATACTGTATAAATAAGACTAGATAGCAGCCTGTCTTAATAAAAATAGATGAGACTGATTTGTTTAACAAATCTTGACAACTGTTATCACTCAAATATTTTAACACTTCCATTTAGAGAAAAAAGGTCTGCTGTAATAATGAGAGCTGAGAATCTGTTTAATGAGAAAGAGTCTGAGATTTGGTCTTGATGAGCACTGGAGAATCGATCAGGGTATGGTAGGATTTAGGTTTTCTTGTTTGTTATGTTTTTGAATGCGGTTAGCTGAGCTTACAGGAGGTCTAGACAGTGACTTTTTTCCATAGCAAAGGCAATTTTTAAATGCTGTGATCTCTTGTAATGGGGTTATATTAACTTATGTGTAGAAAGATTAACATCAAGTTAATCATAAAGGCAGCTTGTCAGTGAATTTAGTTCTTTCTGTATGCAAAGATCTTTTTACTTGCTGTATTACCTTTTCAGCTGAAAAGGAGATAGTACTCCGCAACATTGCCAGAGTAGTGCTGTCATCCCACCAGAAACAGACCTTAGTTCATGTGTTTCAATATCAATAAATCTCTTGATCATTTCTAGTGAACTAGAAGACTGAGTTCTGACAGGGACAGATATTTTGGAAGTAGCTTTTCATGACTTAGGAAGCTGACTCTGCAAAACAGTGTCGACACATGAGCAATGGAAATTAAGAAAGTTCCAGCTATTACAACGTCTGTGCCTGAATTAGTCTGAGCATATCTTTGAAATAACACTTTGCTTTTCTCTGCTGTCGTAAAATTCTTGCATGATCAAGTTGCACACTGGTTCCCAAGATGTCTCCCACATACTGATCACTGTGGGACAGCTTTGCCATCTGTGAGAACACAGAATGTGAAACAGTCTGGTAATGCATTTAAACTGTTAAACTCAGCAGGGTTTGCTGGTTTGTTCTTTCTCTTCCATCCCACTGCAGAAGAGAGAAAGCTAGTACAGAATTCAGCTCAACAATGTCATACTCTAGGTAGTGTTGGACCTGTTATTGGGCGGTGTAGGAATCACAACAGAATTGCTGTCACTGAAGATGCTGACTAAGCATCAAACTTCAAAACAGGAAAAAAACCCAAAAGGTCCTTCTCTCAAGTGATAAGAAAAGGATCATTTTTTTTTCCATTCTACCTTATGTCCCATTCCAGTCTTTGCAATGGCAGTCAGCTTGGTGTGGCTCAGTCATCACTTGTACATATATACTTGGCAGATACGTAATCTCCTAACTGTGGTTTGAGCATCTATCTCACAGCCACCATAACAGCTTCCCCCCAGAATTGCACGGGAAACAGTGTTTTGTTTTCCTTGTGCTAGAACTAACATCTTTTTGAGACTAGAGTTGAATTTTCCCCTCTTTTTCAGATTGTGTAGGAAATGGAGTTCCTGGTGTCTGATATAGGAAAGGTACTATTCCCCTGAGCTCTGAAGTTATTATGGAAGTTACTATCTGATTATCTAGCCCAGTTTAACTCTAAACCCCTTTTGCCATGCTTCTCTATGTTTCTTGCTTCTCTATGTTTCTTTCTCCTCCAGGTGTTTTTGCTCAATAAATTTGGTTAAACTTGCATTGAGTTTTCTTATCTTTTTGTTTGTTTTTTTTTTTTTTTAAGAAATGATGTGACTAGGACGTCTTTCTGTGATTCAGTCAAGATTTTAAAAGGACAGTTAAACTTATAGAGGAAGTTAGACTAAATCCCTCTGTAATTTTGTGCCTTTTGAAACATTCTTTGACCTCTTCACTGTGGATGTTCTTGTTATACTTTTGTATTTGAAATTCTGCTTTTGTTTTTGAAAATGTCTGCATTCATTCACTAGCAACTGAATTGTAGACAAGTATATGCTGCCTATAGCTTTTCAAATTCCTTTCTTTTGAAAAAGTTTTTGAGAGGACTTTAAACATCTGTTACTTTGCTATTTTAATAATAATATAATGAAAATCAAACAAAACAAGCAAACAACAAAAAAACCAACAACCAGTGTTCGAAGGTCCACAGCATTCTTTGAGCACTTATGTTGCACTTTGTTATTTTGAATTCCTTGACAATAAAGTAGAACTCAGGAACAGACTGATTCATCCATGCCTATGACTAAACCTATCTTTTTTTTTTCTTCTTCCTGTTTCAGATGTAAGATGGAAAAACAAATTCTGGGGAAAGTCCATGGAAATTGTTCCAGTTGGTACAACACATGTAACTCTTCCAGCGTAAGTGCTGCAGTTGTGCATTGCTGTTCACACATAGGCACAGATGTGCTTGCACACACTGAAGCCACATTTATCCAGATGAAAACAAGCTGTGCTGTGCTTTGTTAGACTTCTAGAAGAACTGGTGACTATGATTTAATTCAAAAAGAAAAGGGGGGAAAGGGGAAGAAGAAGAACCCCACCAAACCAAAACCAGAAGCATAAATCAGAAGCACTAACTCTTCCAAAAGTTATAACAAACATTGAAAAAAAAAAATCACTACTGTGTGCCTTGAAAAAAGAAAAGTTGGTATTTTCATACTTCAGTTGAATTTCAACCTTTATGCATTTTAAAGTCACAGAGCAAAACTGCTTCGTAGAGGAAGCTACAAATTATTTTGCTTGAATATGGGTTTGGGGGAATGGATGTTGTTGTTGTTCCTGTCTTTGTACCTATATTTATATGGACCCTGACACGATGGGGTCCTGGACTGCAGTGAGGTCAACAGCCATCACCACTGCAGAAATAATTATTGTAGGTGATAAATAGAACCAGTTACATATCTGGTATTTATTATCCAAGGAAGTAAGCAGCCACTGTAGTTAAGTGTTGAGTATAGTTTTTTGTTTTGTTTTGTTTGTGGTTTTGTTTGTTTGCTTTTTTTTAATAAAAATCTGTAATGTTCCTATGCTGGCTTGTCAAAGTGCCCATTATTGATCAACAATTAAAATCCCTTAAAATTTGGCCTATATCTATCATGTTTGCAGAACCAGAGATCTAAAGGTTGAGTAATGTTCCAATTAAATCTGTTTTCCAAAGAAAGAGTACAAAACTAATTATTTTACCAATTTAAAAAAAAGGAATAAAAATAGTTCAAGAACGTAGCACTCATCAAACTAAGGGACTAAGCATGCATTTTTCTTTTAAGTGGATAAAATTGTGATATCATAAGGTGTTATCCAAAAGATAATGTATAAACCATGTTATGTTCATAGCAGCTAGCCTAAGTTGTGGAATGAAAGGTTTTTAGGATGTGAATGAGGGTTCAGAAGCAAGATAACTAATATTAGAACTCATAATGGGCTGATGAACTGGAAAATAATCTGATTTATATGTGATCTCCATGTGCTGGTTTCTATCCCTGTGTATTTGATATAGAATTAGGTACAGAAAAGGTACTAAGGCTATAGGGAAAAATAAAGCATTAGTATTAAGGTTAATTTTGGAGCAATTACAGGTTTTTAGCATTTGTGATAGACCATGTGACCTGCATAGTTAGGGGCAGAAAAACAAGTTACTGTGGGGTAAATTGGTCACGTATCTGCTGGTCTGTTAAAACTGTCTTTGTGTGTGTGCTCTTATAAAGCAGTAAGTGAAAGCAAGGGATGAATAGGAGGTAAGGACAGATTCCAATATCTCCATGGAATGTGTGTGAAGCAGTTGCTATGGGGAAACTGGTGCTTTCTAAGTTTATCCTTTACCTTACCAGTAGTGACTTGGCTATTCGTACCCAGAACAAATTGTAGAATATGTCTTCATGAAACTTACCTCGATGTTTTATAAAGCTGTTTTATAAGAACACCTACTTCTTTAATAAAAGGTAGAATGTTGTGCTACCTTATTGGCATTTGTTCATCTCTCCCTGTCTGCTATCTTCCAGTGTGCAACTGCATCTTGAAGTAGCTGGTGAGAAGTTTTGCTCTTGCCTAAAGCAAAAACATAGGCTCAGCCTTGAGAGCTTGAGCCAAGCTCATCCCACTCACTAAGTCGTCAGATGACTCTGGTGGCCCATGTCCTTGTGTTTTCTGTTGTCACTGTGTTACAAGCTGTGAAATGGGCATTTCAGACAGTAGAAGCCATTAGAATGATTTCTTTTGGAAACTTAAAACTGGTAAAGAAGGATAAGTAAATTGAGAGAAATCTGAATTCAAGACCAAAGTTTATAGCAGATGCAAAAAAGGTTTTGTGGGAGACAGGATTACTGTCATAGGGTTTGTTTTGAGAAGGTGTGGAACAAGAAAATGAGGCATTCCAGGAAAAAAAAATGTATTTTGAGTTTCTTTGATCAAGTTTTCTGCAAATATTTTCACAAGTTTATGAGCTCATTTGAACATGACACATGATTTTTCTTGTGTGTATTTTTCCTTACAGTTTTAAAGACCATTTTGCATGGAACAAGGTGACATCTTGCATCCATAACATCTTAAGTGGGCAGAGATGGATTGAACACTATGGAGAGATCATCATCAAAAATCTTAATGATGACACTTGCCACTGCAAACTGACTTTCATAAAGGTAACCACAGCAATGTTGGCAGTGTCTTTTCTAACAGACACAGCAGTGGGTGGATATGCTCTCTGATGAAGCTCAGTACTACTGTTTACAAGCTTGTAATTACTTGTGATTCTGAGCAACTTTAATTCTGAAGGAATTGCCGTTTACTAGGCAGAGCCAGACAAGAAAGAGAAACAATAGCTTTCTCAGGTGATTTCACTGGCGTTAAGGAAAAGTATGGAGAAAGGAAAGGAAGAAATATCATGGAAAACTTACTCTATGGGAGACATAGGCACAAACTGTCTACTGACAGTGGTTTACCACATGCCTCCTGCTAACCCACTGGCATGTGCTGTGGTTATATTCATTCAACAGCTGTAGGTTATGGTGTTACTCAAAGCTTTTTCTTCACTACAAGGCCTCAAGATACAACTTCTTCAGGAATTGTCCTTAGAACTGAAATCAAATTTGGGTTTTGGTAATAGATGTCTTCTTCTTCTTCTTAATAAAGGAAATCGATGAAAATACAAAGCCATGCTAAAATTTCTAACCCGAGGAATAGTTTTGCAAAGCATGCTAGGAGACTTACCTTAACCTGCATTTTCTGTGTCTGATTGCTGGAGAAAGGCTGTGCTTTACACAGAACAGACCATACAGATACAAGGAATTACTTCAGTGTACCTATGCAGCATGGTGCTCAGCAGCAGGAGGAAAGTTTTCTTATTTGTTTTCCTGAATATCTAGTGCTTTCTAAGAAGTATTAGGGTGATTATTTTTTTCAAACACTTATTTGAAAATACTGTAATGTAGTTTCAGAGCTGCAGTAGATGTTTAGAGTTCAAATTTTAAAGACTGAGAGCCTACAAATCTCACGCTTTTGATATTGTAAATTGTCTAAATGGGAGATTAAAGTATCAGTTCCTTCTCGTCCTCTTCTGCAAATTTGGGGAAGATGTAGATAACTAAGTTGGGAGTCCGTGTCTACTGTCATTGGACAAAATTCAAGATCAGCTATGCTTTGCATAGTACTGTCCCTAAAAAAGTTAAACCACGTAAATACGATTCTCAATGTTAGTATTTTAACAAGCTGATTAATAGTACTAACAGCAGTTGTTTGCATATGATATTTTAATGCACACCTAAATTAATAGTTTTCATTTCAGAAAACTGCTCTACAGCATGGTGCTACTGGCATGGCAAAATGAGCCACACTTGAGCTCTTATGCACCCTTTTTCCCTTGTTCCTTTTAATTCTAGGCGAAGTACTGGAATCCAAACGCACATGAGATTGAAGGCAGTGTCATGGATAAAGCTGGGAAAGTTGTGCATCGACTCTTTGGGAAGTGGCATGAAAGTTTATACTGTGGAACAACTTCATCTTCAAACTGCATATGGAGAGCAAGTTAGTGATCAGAACAGCTGTTGTGCAGGAACTGAGATCTGCTTGAGAAAGAGCTTACTGTTTTTATTTCTTTACTAGGCCTCAATTTCTTTTTATTTCTCTGTAAAATATTAGATTTTTGTCAAGCATTTAGAATTTAGACCAGAAGAACATCATTTAAATAATATGGAGAACTTAATCCTGTGGCTTCCTGCATTTTCGCCATTCTCCCTCATTTTCGTATTTGGGCATGAAGTAGGTATTGAGGACTCTAACAGGAGGGAAATAAAAAAAAGGAACAAACCCCTCCACTGCTTGTATAAAGAAGTGTCATATATTTCATGTGTTAAACATTGGAGGATAGCCCACAAAGCTCAGTTCTGTAATGACAACCATAACTGAACTCCTCCCAAACTCGTGGGATTTTGTCTACTGTAGTTTGAAAAAGCACTATGATAATAGTATGGCCTTCATCACAGTTGTGCTCTGATTCAGCTGAGAGAACAGAAATCTGTCTTGTTGCAGAGCAATTATCAAGGGGGATATTCTCTTTTGTTACATTATTAAAAACCTCTTGTTCCCGCAGAACTGAGGCTGTGGATCAAGGATAAACAAATGACTGAAGGGAGCTTGGAATTTTTATTCTAAAGATAATAACATTTACTTGGAATTCTGAATGTACTCTTTTCTTCTGTAGATCCAATGCCTAAAGATTATGAACAATGGTATGGATTTACTCAATTTGCACTGGAATTAAATGAATTGGACCTTCAAACTAAGTCATTACTCCCATCCACTGATACACGTTTTAGACCAGACCAAAGGTAAAAAGTTTTAAATGTCTTCCTAAAATTGTTCTTAATCTTCCATACAGTCACTTTGGCCTAAACTCAGACTATTTTGAGTTAGTTTTCCTTAAGTGCTTTTTGATAGTGTAGTTGTCTGCAGATGTAGCCGTTTGCCTTTGAAACACTGTGAACTACCTGCCATAAAACGGGGGAGAGGAACACCAATTGTGTCTTGTATTGCTACTGCTACAGGTTTCTAGAGGAAGGGAATATTGAAGGAGCTGAAATACAAAAGCAGAGGATTGAGCAGCTACAGAGAGAACGACGGAAGGTGCTAGAAGAAAACAATCTAGAGCATCAGCCTAGATTTTTCAGGTACTATATAATATTTAGCATATGCTGTCATTTATTGAAATTCCTAATTATAGATCTGATTATGAATTATCATGGAGCAGGCTCCAAATTTTTCCAGGTTTCTTCTAGATACTCGTTTTTTTATACCATACTCCAGTAGCATACTCCAGACTTAGTTAAAACTCAGAATTATATATTACCTTTTCATTAGTGCATCCTTGAATTTCTTTTTAATTTTTTTGCCTTGATGGCGATTGATACTTATTCTACATTTGAATCTGCCTGACTGACAGAATCTTTGATTCTTTCAAACAAGGTGAAATAGCTGGATTTATCTTAATTATCTCTGCTGAACTTCAGTTAAATTCAGGGGGATTGCCTGGTGCAGAAGTATGCTGAGTTGGAGCCTTTCATTTCCAGTGCTGTTTTCAAACAGGTTTCCCCTATTTTATGGGGAGAGAATTATCATTCTGAGGGCACTTTATTTCTTGCTGTTGTAAATTAATTAAACAGGAGACTTCAGCCATTGAAAGACAAAAATGAAAGCCAGTGGGGATGTGGTCTTTTGCCCTCCAACTTCTCTCTTCTCCTGCAGTGAAAGAGTTGGAGCCAAGGTGAATGCTGTATGGGCCTATGTATCACAGTTAACAGATTGGGATTCTATTTTTTCTGAATAGATATATACTGTACTTCTGAGGAACACAGAAATGTTTATAATAGGTATAAATAGGTGCAAAAAGAGAATGGTTCAGACCACTAGATATCTGATAAGCTGGTGAGCTAACTCATCATTTGCCAATCACACCTACTAAAGAGAAGCAAATACTACTTTCAGCAGGATAGAGGCAGTCTAATACTTTGTGATTGTATATTCACAATGAGAATTGTGAATAAGGATCAGCATTTAAATCCTTACAATGAGGATTTGAAAACGGAGTTTTGTTCTGTAGATTTAAATAGTGGAATAAAGAATTTAATTACTATATAGCAAAAGTATTAGAGCAGATATAAATTAATGCATTTGGCTTTTCAATAGTGATTTCTCTCTGCCACAAGCCTTGATTTTCTTAAAAGAATAATTAGCGATTGTGCCAAACATGTTGTGCACTAGATTAAAAGCAGACTGATTTTTTGGCTCTTGACTGAGAGCTTTAGGCTCTCTTTATGCAATAAACATGGTGAGCCATCTCTGGACAGGTAGAAGTCAAGTTTCCCCTCAAAGCTGCTTTTGAGACCATGAAATAAACCTGGGCTGTAGTTTTAAGTACCAAGCACAGACATATGACAGTGAAAGTGAATAGTGGGTTATTGAGATGCATCTCTCAATGTGCAGACATACCTGTTCGACTCTTCATGCTATATTGGCTTGTTTGCAGGCTGTAATGAGTGGCACTGCACCTGGTTCATGGGCTGGATTGGGTATCTGTGCATAGTACTACACTGCATTACACAGCATATATATGGAAAATATAAGCTTTACTTTTAAGATATTTATTTAACCTTTGACAGGAAATCCAATGATGACTCCTGGGTGAGCAATGGAACCTACATGGACCTTAGAAAAGAACCTGGTTTTTCCAAACTGGACAATCCTGTCCTCTGGTGAAAGAGGAGCTAAGTGAAGATATTCTGTGCTGTATTCTTGGATCTGATTCAAAAGACATATATGTAAAATATAACTATATATATCTATATATACACATATATATATACACACACACACACATAGTGTATGTGTGGGGTGTGTGTATGTGTGCAAATGTGCATATCTTCAAAATTGTGCTTAAGTTAGAATCTCATAATTAATTTGTTTCCTTTACTCGACTATTGCAATGATTGTTTGAATGTATAAATACCCTAACTTCTTTTTATAAAATATTTAATAAATAGTCCTGAATGTAAACAGTGAGAGGGAAAAGAGGAGCTTTTACACTACTTTTTCAATGTGTAATAACATCAGCTGTGAGTTAACTTATGCCTTATTAAATTGCATTGGAGGCAGTAGCATCAGCATCTCCTAGCTGTGCTGAGGAATCAGAGTGCAAGCCTTAGTAACTCAAACTGTAGGTTGGATTCCACAGTGCAATGAGTAGTTCAGCTGTCTCTGGGCAGGTATAAATTGCTAAAACAAGATTACCAGCTGGTGCTGGAATCTGAATATGATCTTTTGCTGCCTGTAGAAAAGATTTAAATAAGCTTTTGTTTCTAATAACTTTCTTCTTAGTATTATGGAGGAGGTAGTTCTGAGCTTGCGTCAGTGGTTCTACTGCCTTATACATAAGTTGTACCAGGTTAAATGTAGTGCTAGAAATTCAGGAATCGCCAAAATTTTCCACTGGGAAAAATTTCCACTTCAAATTTATAGCCCCTAACAGGGCAAGAGGAGGAGATTATTGTATATACTGCTTGAGCACTGAGTAGATGAAGAAGCTCTCTCTCTTTCCAGTAAGTGAAATCTATACAGAGCACGAAATCCTGTGCTTCCATAGCTTCATTTGTTTTTATTAACCTAAAAATTGCAACAGTAAAACTTTTTAAAAAGTAAGCAAACTGATTGTTTTAAGCTAGAAATTTTTTCCTAGTATTTTGATATTTTCTACCTCTTAAGAAATAAACAACATATTTTAGATCTTATATTTAAAAAACTACCATCTGCCTTATGGAGAAGTGTATGGAGTCTTTGATATTCCTCTGTTTGTTTGTTATTTTCAGATAAATATTGAAGTGTCTTGCACTAAATCAATTGCATCCCTTTCCTATAATTTTATATGTATGGCTTGATTTGTGAAGCTACTAAACCATAGGTCAGAAATTGAGCAGGAAAAAAATGTAGCACTTTTGAATGAATATTATAGAGATGGGCAGTATTTTTTGGGTTTTTTCCATCAAATCACAATGTCACAGTCATTAACAGAATAATTTGCACTCCTACCTATCTGCAACTCAAGCCTGATCCATGATTCTTCAAGTCTGTTCTGTGTGTCTGTGTCTCTGGCAACAATGCAGTTTCCATGTGATAGGTCTATATCCTGTCACCACCCCCTTTTATTTTTCTTCCATGCCACTGTAATGGCATGAAACAAATACAAAAGCTGGCATGTTAAACTGGCTTATGACTGGAACACTTGGATGTGGCGGGGATAAGGTAGACTCCTAGGCAGACAGACTAGTAGCTTAGAAAAGCTTGCACTTTACTGCAACTGTGCTGCATTGTCCTAGAGAAAACCCATTAAAAATGGATCCATGTAGTATATGTAAGATGAAGGAAAAACTATGAAGGTTTTCCATTTTAAACAAAATCTGTAATGTCAGATTAGATGTATATTTGAATTTTCTTTCTGTTACCTTAAAGCCTCATTGTCTCAGAGGCAGATGAATGCTCTTTCACTATTTTTCACTTTGCCCAGGAACTCTGCCTCACTATAATTTCTGTAATTTATTACCAAAGAAGTTAGCATAATTATTTATATTTAATATGTCTTTTTAAGACTTGACTACCATGCCAACAGCTTACAACAAGGCAAGGTTCACATTTATATGAAGACAAAATCTGGGCTTTGATTCCAAAGGAAATCTTAACCTTTGGGGGCTGTTTGGCTTTTCAAGGAAAAAAGGTTCTTGTCATAACTTGTTCCCTTCCTGTATTTTAACCTTGTATTAACTGTGAAAACTTGGCATCGATTGGAGTGGTTAATTGTAGTTATCTTTGCTGTTGGTAATTACCATTTATACTAAAAATAACATTCATTTAACAACAAAAGAGGGTAGCGGAAATAAAAAAAAAAACTTCTAGGCAAAGGAGCAAAATTTATGGAGGATATATTAAGCTTGCTCATTGTCATATTTGGCAACTACTGTGATACTGACTGATCTGCATATATATCAGTTATATATCTGAATATATTGTTGGGTTTGTATATTCTATGTGTGGAGAGGATTCCTCCATACTTTGTCATATGACCTAATATTTGATAGCATCTAAAATTAAAGAATTAGAGGCCAAAAGGCAAAGTTAAAAGTTGTAATGCATTAAAAGCAGCAGGTGTTAAACAGAACAAATCTCATTATTTGATTCATGATTTTTGAGAAATCAGACTGGAAGTGTTGCCTTCTATCTTAAATCTAAACTGTCTAAAATATATGGGATTGATCACAAGAAGCACTGGGCTGAGCAGTGCCTTATATAAAATTTTCTTTATCAAAATTTCCATATCAAGAAGGTAAACTGAAGAATTTTAATATCATCTTCAGAAAAACAATGCCTGAGAATAATCTAGGGCATTTCTTAAATGCATGAAGCAAAATCATTGAACAAGTAATAGATCCTTTTTAAAATCTCTAATACGCACCTGCAAGCACGATGTAACCAGTTGTGAATGATCCTCTGACCCTGCGTTTCCAACAGCAGTATAGTTTTCCCTGCTTACTTTTTTATTAAATAATTGGGTTTAGTTACTAAACTTCTGTCAACTGTATATTAAGAAGTGGAAGGAAATGTTACTTCTGTGTATTTCCGCATAAAAATATATTCATCATTCACAAACTGTAATATATTCTATAAAGTTATTCTTGGTAAAATATCAAATTCTGGTAAGTTTCTTCCCCAAAACTTCAGCTGTGTTGATGGGTACCAAATTTATTTTAGTGTTCTGCAATGTAATTAAGACAAGTTGTTTTTAATAACTGACATTGGGGGACTTCTTTCCCACTATTTCTACCCTGAATGGTAACCAGAATGCACCAAGCAACTTAACTGCTACTTTTCATACACAGAAGTGATCCCCAAGCTATATTAGTTCAATGGATCAGTCTTAAAATTTCCTGATGGCCGTTGCCTGCTGTTATAGCTCTCTTATTTCATGACTTTATAACCATCACTTAATATGATCTTGGAGGTCAGTTTGAGAAGAATTCATCCAGCTCTTCCTTTCTTTGTGTGTCTGTTCATAAGGTAAAACCTTCACTGCAAACTTATGTCAAAGTAATGTAGCAGTTCAGGCCTTTCGGTGTTAAAACACTGGCTCAGTTTGCAAATTACAAAGCATAGAAAGAAAAAAAGTCCAGGGAAATAGTGTTCATAGGAACAGAAACTCACAGCTTTACTTCCAGATCTGCAGGCTAGATGCTTAGTTTCTGATTTTGGTACAATGTAAATTTGGAATTATGAAACAGCATCACTGGTTCAGGAGGCGACTCCGGGTAGCATAAAGTGCCCTTTAGACCAAGTGGAACTGGAATGCACCATAAATAATTGCATTCCGTTCTGAATCTCTGTTCTCTAAGGTATGCTTGATGTGTTAGTTTGCCAGCATCGATCTACTTCTTTTAGATGCTTTTTAAAATACAGATCTAGCAGTCTGGACTTAGATTCTTCATAAAGAGCTCAGAAAACTAGATGCCTGGAAGGAAGACCAAAACGAACCCAAATTCTGAAAAGGAAACATCCCAGAGATCTGTTCTTCCACCAATCAGTTTTCTTTGAAGGACTAGAAACAAGATTGCTGCTTTCTTTTAAAACCTGGCTCCTGAAGGATGTAGTGGTTGCAAACACAGTCCCCTTACTGTCTGCTAGTTTAGTGTTGAATCCAGATCACTGTGCAGAAAGGAACACCATTCATGGAGCCAGAACCAGGGCCCAACCAGCTTTCAGGTTGCACAAAGGTCAAGTGCTGGTCTCAAAACAAACAAACCAACCCCTTCCAAAACCCCAGCCTAACAAAGACCTCACCCCTTTCCATGCCCCTTACTTTCCCTCAGGTGTTTACAATCCTGTTTAGGTTTTCTATGTGGTCCCTTATGTCTTCAAGTCCTTATTCAATGTCCTGTTTTTCTCTTTATTAAAAAAATCTCTGAATAGGAAACAGTCCATTCTAAAAAGCTTTTAAATGATAAATCATGCCTCAAACCATAGTTAAAATCTCTTCCCATAAACATTGTGGCCTACTTCTGTATCTTTTCCTTGACTGAGAACAAGACTTTTTTCCCACTTACACTCTGGAATCAGACTCGGTGTAAGTGCAACTATACTGCTCAGCATACTCCTAGTTATTAGTGTCCTTGCATCTGCTGTTGTGTGAATCTCTTGTGTTGTCTCTCCAAATGACCAGCTTGGCAGAGCAGGAAACTTTTGGCATATCTTACTTAGTTCAATACAGCATTTTTTTGGTATACAGCTCAGAGGGGGCAAGGTGAAGAGGAGTGCAAAACTTGGCCCACAGTGCATATATACTAGAGAGACGGATGAAATCCAGCTTCTCCACATCTCTGAATACATCTTGCAAGGGCTAGAATCAGACGGTGCTATGCAAAGGAGTGACATTAAAATAAAATGGTTTTTTTGGTTGAGTGTGTTTTTCATTCATGGATTATGCTTATTATAAATAAAATTCACGGTATTCACTTATTCATTCTTTCTATTTTTTAGCTACTGGTGGATGCAACTTACTCCAGCAACTGTGGGTTCATAAGAAACTACACATTATCTTGCTTATCTGTTGAAACTTAGTAAACACTGTAACTTATCACCAAATGTATTATTGTGCTCCTCCGTTCTTAGATACTGTTCTTTCTGCAGCTTTTGAAAGCAATAAGAGAAATTTTCAACATAAATAGTTGCCATATGTTAAAGATTTATTTAAACGGTTCATTTTTTTATATAAATTGTGGATTTGGTGTTTTTGTTGTATAAAACAAAACTGTATTAACGCTTATGAGAATGTTTCGGAGGTTGATCCACAAGAGATGATGAACTCCTTTAACTCCACACCTTGGAGATGGTTGGTATTCCCGAGAATCAGGTAGTCTTGTATCTGTGTTAACAGTATTTTATTAGTTCCAGTACTGGAAAAACATGCCACCTGTATGACGTATTACACAAAGCTGCTAAATGCTGAATTTGTTGTTTGTTTTGATAGAGCATTAGTGATTTCAGAATAAGGAATGATATCTTATACATTAGAATGATCACTGACTTTCACATTATCACTGACTTTCACATTATCACTGACTTTCAGATTTTTAGGAAATCTTTCTGTAATCAGGACCATTCCCAGTTTTTGCTTCACTTACTCCAAAAATTTATAATGTTGGAGCACCTTGATGCACAATTTGATTTATTATTTTTGTCTCTGTAACCAATTTAGTTGGATGTCAATAAATCATACTTGCAAAAGGTCATAGAGCACCCT